TCGGCCAGGCCCCCGCGGCCCAGCACCTCCCCGCTGAACTGGTAGGTGAGCTTCTTTTTCACCTTCTTCACCTCGCCCGTCTTGCTGTAGTTGCGCAGCGCGCGCGCCATCTTCTGGTAGGTCATCTTCTTGCGGTTGCCCTTCTGGATGCCCCAGCGGTGCGCCAGCGCCTCCTTGTGCTTAGACGAGAACTGGAAGGTGCCCTTGTCCTTGTCCACCCACCAGATGCTGTCCTTCATGTCGCCGCTGCGCAGCAGGTCCAGCAGGAACTGGTACAGGCGGATCTTCTTCTTGCTGCCTGTAGGGGAGGGGCCGGCCGGGGTGCGGACTCAGGGACCCCCCTCCTATGTGCATGTATGTACACGGGCGTGCACCCGCAGACACACATGTATGTGCACACGCACGGACATGTATACACACCGACGTGCACACACATGCACATGCCCACACGCGCGCGCACATGCACTCACACCTCCATGTATGCATGCATGCACATGCACCCAAATACACACGCGTACACACATTGCATATGCACACTTGCACACCTCCATACACATGTACCCCCATATGCACATATATATACCCAATCTCACACATCATTTGTGTGCACATACACCTGCAACTCCATACACACATATACACACATACCCATATGCACACATGCACAATTCCATACACACACGTGCACATAGATATACACATACACCTATATGCACACCTATACACTTCCATACATACACACACACCTCCATATACACATATACATCCACGTGCAAATGCACACAGATACAAACCTCTGTATACAGCTCCATAACACACATGCTCCTATCTGCTCACATGTGTCCACATGCATGTCCACACCTATGCACACTCACAGTTCACTCATTCACATACACAGCACAGATATGAAGATGCACCCACCCTCACACTCACACGTGCTCACAGGCACCCGCTCAGTCACAGAGCCTCAGAAGCCCCCACAAAATGTGCACACATCACACTGGCATGGCTGCTGGGTCATTTGGCCTTGGCTGGGATGGGAAAGGTCCAGACACAGCCAGGGTCAGGTCAGGACCACTGGCTGACCCTGGAGGGGTCAGGGGCTGGCCCTTACCTGTCTCTCCGTGCAGGAGGCCTGGCCCAGACTCCAGGCCGTCAGCTTCCCCATCAGACACCTCCAGCGGGGGGCTCTGCCGCTCGCCCTCCTCATCTGAGCTGGGCTGGGCTGGGGACAGGGATTGGTAAGGGAGGCACATCCGGGGCAGGTAGGAGACCTGGAGGTGTGGGAAGGGGGTGGGGTCAGTAAGGGACAAGCATCAGGGCTGCGGCTGGCTCCGAGGGTCTGAGTGAGGGGAGAGGGAGTCTTGGGGTGCTCTGCTGGGAGATTGAATTATGGTGGAACTAGAGGCCAGGTTGGGTCACCATGCACAGGAATGCGGGTGCAGGACTGCTGACAGCTGGCTCTGTGGCTCGGGGCAGGGGAAGGAGCGCCTGTTCTCATACCTGCAAAGGTGCTGTCTGGTTGGACAGCAGTTCTGGGGACAGAGAGGGAGGGCTGGGGAGCAGTGATAATCCTGACCGTAATGGTTCTTAATAATGGGGTGATGAGCAAGTAGAGAGACCATAGAGGTTAGTAAGGAGTGATAAAAGTCCACACAGACCACAAGTGGGGGTCAGGACCCCTGGAACAGAGAAGTGTCAATACTGGAGGTCAGGGGGAGGGGGAGGAAGGGGAGATCAGCACAGGTCCGTGTTTAGTGACTCAGATGTCAGAGGTAGGAAGGGACTGGAAGTAGAGATTTCAATTAGTAAAGACCCCAGCCAGGCGTGAGTGGAGAGAATAGACAAGAATTTGGGATCATCTGGGATCCCTCCATCCTTTAATGACAGGAGATAAGATCCCAGGGTTGGCGGGGGGGGGGGTGTCAGTGTTCTGGCTGCAGGGCAGTAAGCCATGCTGAGTAAGAGCCTATGTCAGCTCCCTGAGATGCTTTGGGGCCTCTCCAGGGGCCTGGCATGATCGAGGGGACAGAGGCTGGCAGGCGGCATGCACCTGGTGGCTGAGGCTGCTGTGGGGTGGCACCATGGGAGTGTCGAGCACGTGCATCTGCTCCAGCTCCATGTGGCGGTAGAGCTGTTGCAGCTGGGGTGGCTGCACACTCTGCAGCTCCGTGAAGTGGTTCTCGGGAAAGCTCTCGAACTCACTGTGCACATGGTGTGGGTGGAAGTCCCAGTAATGATCTGTGGGGACAGCAGGCAGGATGAGGTGAGCCAGGATGACATGGCTGGAAGTTTGCACAAAGCATCCTTTTTTGTGTGTGTGTGCCATTATTGGGGTTTGAACTCAGGGCCTGAGCACTGACCCTTAGCTCTTTAATTCAAGGCTAGCACTCTACCACTTAAGCCACAGCAGCTCCACTTCCAGCTTTTTGATGGCTAATTAGAGATAGTCTTGGGCTGGGAAGGTGGCTTAGTGGTAGAG